GAGAGAGAAAGAATGAGTGCATGAGAGAGGACAGGCACAGAGTTATGTAAACAAACCAGGCGAAGGTAAGTTTTGTAAACAAAGTGTACACGTCTGGTTTGTGTACAAGTTACATTGTGTACAGGTTGTCTCTACATTGATACGGTAGAATAAATAAAGAAGAACACTCCCATTCTCATGTAACATCATTTTGAGAAGAAATGATGCTCTGAGTGAAGGCAATGGAAATAAGTCACTCTGACTTTTTTGGGTTATCCTAGGCTCTCTACACATATGCTGTTATGTATGATAATCTACGTAACTGTATTTGTGTATACCTGAATAAACTTACTTACTTACATACGAAAGGAATAATTTTCTACAGTTACCCCCAGTAACACATTTTCTCTTATGTTAGATTAGAGAAAATGTTATTCTTGGCATCACTTGTACAAGTTATCTGGCTACCACATCTCATATTTATGTTTATTTATTCTATTGTAGGGTGTATTTATCATCTTTTTATGTTATGTATCGTGTTTATTATATAATTTTGAAAAAAATATTATGGATGGATTAATGAAAATGTGTATATTAACGTAATATACAACATTTAATGAGACTCGGTGATTATTATTATTATTAGCATTTCTAATATGGCGTCACTTGTGCAAGTCGTCTGCTACCACATCTCATATTTATGTTTATTTATTCTATTGTGGGGTGTATTTATCATCTTTTTATGTTATGTATCGTGTTTATTATATAATTTTGAAAAAATATCATAGATGGATTAATGAAAATGTGTATTTAACGTAATATACGACATTTAAATGAGACTCGATGATTATTATTATAATTACTAATATGACGTCTGGAGACATAAGACACTCTTACTGATTTTAATGTGTACCTGCATGCCAGCACAGTATGTAAGTTTATTTAAGTACAGGTATACATAAGTATAATTATCAGAGTTATAAGAAGAGCAGAGTATATGGAGAGTAAAAGAAAGGTAAAGAGAGTGGTGAGAGAGTGCAAAAGGAGAGCAGATGAAAGAGTGGGAGAGGCACTGTCAAGAAATTTTAATGAAAATAAGAAAAAATTTTGGAGTGAGTTAAACAAGTTAAGAAAGCCTAGAGAAAATATGGATTTGTCAGTTAAAAACAGAGTGGTGTAAATATTATGCAGAAAATTCGGAGTGTGGAAATTAGGAGAAGGTGTGGAGTTAATACAAGCATTAGTCAGAGAGGGGTTGTTGAGGTGGTTTGGTCATTTAGAGAGAATGGATCAAAGTAGAATGACATGGAAAGCATATAAATCTATAGGGGAAGGAAGGCGGGGTAGGGGTCGTCCTCGAAAGGGTTGGAGAGAGGGGGTAAAGGAGGTTTTGTGGGCAAGGGGCTTGGACTTCCAGCAAGCGTGCGTGAGCGTGTTAGATAGGAGTGAATGGAGACGAATGGTACTTGGGACCTGACGATCTGTTGGAGTGTGAGCAGGGTAATATTTAGTGAAGGGATTCAGGGAAACCGGTTATTTTCATATAGTCAGACTTGAGTCCTGGAAATGGGAAGTACAATGCCTGCACTTTAAAGGAGGGGTTTGGGATATTGGCAGTTTGGAGGGATATGTTGTGTATCTTTATATGTGTATGCTTCTAAACTGTGTATTCTGAGCACCTCTGCAAAAACAGTGATAATGTGCAAGTGTTGAATGATGATGAAAGTATTTTCTTTTTGGGGATTTTCTTTCTTTTTTGGGTCACCCTGCCTCGGTGGGAGACGGCCGACTTGTTAAAAAAAAAAAAATGATAGAGTGGATAACGAAGCAATGTGGCAGATGTTGCAAGTATATGGAACAGGTGGAAAGTTACTAAATGCTGTTAAGAGTTTTCATGAGGATAGTGAGATATGTTGTGTATCTTTATACGTATATGCTTCTAAACTGTTGTATTCTGAGCACCTCTGCAAAAATCAGTGATAATTTGTGAGTGGGGTGAAAGTGTTGAATGATGAAAGTATTTTCTTTTAGGGGATTTTCGTTCTTTTTTGGGTCACCCTGCCTCGGTGGGAGACGGCCGACTTGTTGAAAAAAAAAAAAAAAAGTGAGGCTCAGGTTAGGGTGTGTAGAAGAGAGGGAGACTACTTCCCGGTAAAAGTAGGTCTTAGACAGGGATGTGTAATGTCACCATGGTTGTGTAATATATTTATAGATGGGGTTGTAAAAGAAGTAAATTCTAGGGTGTTTGGGAGAGGGGTGGGATTAAATTATGGGGAATCAAATACAAAATGGAAATTGACACAGTTACTTTTTGCTGATGATACTGTGCTTATGGGAGATTCTAAAGAAAAATTGCAAAGGTCAGTGGACGAATTTGGGAGTGTGTGTAAAGGTAGAAAGTTGAAAGTGAACATAGAAAAGAGTAAGGTGACGAGAGTATCAAACGATTTAGATAAAGAAAAATTAGATATCAAATTGGGAAGGAGTATGGAAGAAATGAATGTTTTCAGATATTTGGGAGTTGACGTGTCAGCGGATGGATTTATGAAGGATGAGGTTAATCATAGAACTGATGAAGGAAAAAAGGTGAGTGGTGCATTGAGGTATATGTGGAGGCAAAAATGTTATCTATGGAGACAAAGAAGGAAATGTATGAAAGTATAGTAGTACCAACACTCTTATATGGGTGTGAAGCTTGGGTTGTAAATACTGCAGCGAGGAGGTGGTTGGAGGCAGTGGACATGTTCTGTCTAAGCGCAATGTGTAGTGTAAATATTATGCAGAAAATTCAGAGTGTGGAAATTAGGAGGTGTGGACTTAATAAAAGTATTAGTCAGAGGGCTGAAGAGGGTTTGTTGTGGTGGTTAGGTCATTTAGAGAGAATGGATCAAAGTAGAATAAAATGGAGAGTGTATAAATCTGTAGGAGAAGGAAGGCGGGGTGGGGTCGTACTCAAAAAGGTTGGAGGGAGGGGGTAAAGGTGGTGTCGTGGGCGAGGGTTTTGGACTTCCAGCAAGCGTGCGTGAGCGTGTTAGATAGGAGTGAATGTAGACAAATGATATTTGGGACCTGACGAGCTGTTGGAGTGTGAGCAGGGTAATATTTAGTGAAGGGATTCAGGGAAACCGGTTGTTCTATGGAACCGGACTTGAGTCCTGGAAATGGGAAGTACAATGTCTGCACTCTAAAGGTGGGGTTTGGGATATTGGCAGTTTGGAGGGATATATAGTGTATTTTTATACATATACACTTCTAAACTGTTGTATTCTGGGCACCTCTGCAAAAACAGTGATTATGTGTGAGTGAGGTGAAAGTGTTGAATGATGATGAAAGTATTTTATTTTGGGGATTTTCTTTCTTTTTGGGTCACCCTGCCTCGGTGGGAGACAGCCGACTTGTTGAAGAAATAAAAAAAAAATTAATCCATTCCAGGGAGTTAGGAATCCCCCTCCATAAGGATTTCAGGTGTCAAAGCCCTCTAGTGATAATTCTTTTCTTTGTCTTTTACTGCTACAGTACATTCATTACTTTTTTTTTCTTCAACAAGTTGGCCGTCTCCCAGCAAGGCAGGGTGACCCAAAAAGAAAGAAAATCCCAAAAAAGAAAATACTTTCATCATCATTCAACACTTTCACCTCACTCACACAATCACTGTTTTTGCAGAGGTGCCCAGAATACAACAGTTTCGAAGCATATACGTATAAAAATACACAACATATCCCTCCAAACTGCCAATATCCCAAACCCCTCCTTCAGAGTGCAGACATTGTACTTCCCATTTCCAGGACTCAAGTCCGGTTATATAAAATAACCGGTTTCCCTGAATCCTTTCACTAAATATTACCCTGTAGTCTTAATGCAGGGCAAAAGGCAAGTAGTATTTATTTGTAGGAATTCAATGTAGATAGCCTGTTGATGTAGGTACACGTATGTAGCCCCCCCCCCATGGGATACACTACATAGCCATATTACATCGACATACCACATTCACACATTTTAATCGTTTCTAACAACTACCTATAGATGCCTTCATAAACAAAGGGAGAAGTAATGAATAATTCATTCCAAGAATTTTAAAACGCATATGGAGGGCGGTTACTGCACCAGACGCCAGATTCAGTTCTCTAACGCTGCGTAAGAGAAAACGTAATGCTTATCTTCCACCCTCCTCCCTCCTTGATTCGTCAGTACTCACCACTCGATAACATATAAACACTGCATGTTTATATGCTATGCAACGTGTTTCTTTTATGATTTTAAAGAAAATATCATAGATGGATTAATGAAAATGTCTATATTCACCTGAGGAGAAAAAGCCATGCTGACTTACGACTCTTGCACAGGTAGGCGTGCAGGCGCAGGCAGGCAGACATGTCTGGTACTGGGGACGAAACACGGGGCACAATGCAAAACTAGAAAAAATTGAGCCGAAAAATGGTTCTAAACTAAGCGTACGATACTCAGGACGGACGAAACTCTGGGTTCAATTGCATTACCCGATTTTACCGATACGGTGTGATTTTTTATTTGAAAATTGTCACAATACTTAAGACACCAAATAATATGTTCCCATAAATTTTAGTTGGCACGTGAGAAGATTTTGTATTAAATATTTGGACAAATTTGGCACACACTTAAAAAGATTGCCCACCCCTGGACTAGGATATGCTGTATCAAGAGCCCAAGAATGACTATGCTAGATTCCCAAAGACTTCTTAGATTTGCCCGAGGTTATTTGATACCAGACTGGCATTATACTGTACATTATGCATTACGCTGAGCTAGGTCTGCTGCCTCTGTCCACCTAGTACACACCCCATTTCCAGCCTTCTTGCTCCTTCCACAGTCATGTATTTACTGGGGTTGAACTCAAGCAACCACTTATCTGACCACTCCTGCAAGACAGGACACCACCAACAAAACTGTTCCTACAAGTACAGTAATGACCAGATACCACTAGTGTAGCTCTGCTCCTGTAGTTACAAATAACTAATTATACACACATTATAATGACAACCTACTTCTTTTTTGCATCTTCTTCTTGTACCTCTTGTAAAACTTCAAGAAGCTGATCATTCAGTAGATCTTGTGCTGTGGAGTAGACTTGTGAAGCGGTTTTCAATTTCACTACACACTCACTCTTCTCCTTTACCTCATTTCTGAGAGAACCTAACTTTGCCTCGCGTTCCTCAATTTCTTGACGTTCACTGGCCTCCACTACCCGACTGCCAAGCTTATCTATTTTTTCATCAACCTGAAATAAATCTAAGTATCAAGAATCTGAAGGAGGGCTGTTAATGTTGCAGTTTAAAAACTGTAGTGTAAAGCACCCTTCTGGCAAGACAGTGATAGAGTGAATGGTGGTGAAATTTTTTCTTTTTCGGGCCACCTTGCCTTGGTGGGAATCGGCCAGTGTGATAATAAAAATAATAATATAAATCAAGAATCTGGTCTGAAAGTTCAATAAATAACAGAGCATAATACTACAATAGCATTATATCATTCCCCCTTTTCTATTATTAACTGTTTTACATCAAATGTATAGATGCCTATACACTCAGTCAGGAGCTTCCTAGTTGTCTTGCTTTGATTATTCAATGTTATCTTTACAAAATTCTTCAATGAACAGCTTAGATTAAGCTCATAAGTCATACAGTGCCTGGAGCATAGAGGTAATCACATTTGATCCAAGAGGAAGGGGGCTCTAATTCCTTAGATCAAGAGCCCCTCACCATTATCAAGGGTCTTCCCTTGAAGAAAAAATTGGAAATCAATTTACCAGGCATACAAACAGTACATATTGTTTATAGTTTATATAGGAGTGCTTTAGTGCAATGGACTGGGGGGGTATAACATCTTGTGAGTGGGGGAGTTGCACGAGGCAGTGGGTAGAATGAAAAGGGGTAAAGCAGCCGAGATTGACAGAATAAAGACAGAAATGTTAAAAAGGAGTGGGGATATAGTTTTGGAGTGGTTGGTGCTTTTATTATGATAAATGTAGGTAAGAAGGTAAGGTACCTAGGGACTGGCAGGAAGTATGCATACTTCCTTTGTATAAAGCTGAAGGGGACAAAACAACAAAAATTATAGGGAAAGAAGCCTGTTGAGTATACCTGGTAAAGTATACGGTAGGGTTGTTATTGAAAGAATTAAGAGGAAAATGGAGAGCAGGATCACAGATGAACAAGGCAGCTTTATGAAGGGTATGGGGTGTATAGACCAAGTGTTTACAGTGAAACATAGGTGAACAATATTTACACAAGGATGAAGAGAGTTTTGTTACATTTATAGAAAAATAGGCCATAAACAGGGATATACGATGTCACCACAGTTGTTCAATATACGTATTTATAGATGGGGTTGTAAGAGAAGTGAATGCTTGGGTATTAGCAAGTGGTGTGGGATTAAAAGAAAGAATCAAACAAAGTGGGATTTGTAAAGTTCCTCTTTGCTGATGACACTGCTTTTGGAAGATTCTGAAGAGAAGTTGCAGGGGTTAGTGGATGAGATTGGTAGGGAATGTAAAAGAAATTAAAAGTGAACATAGTAAAGAATAAGGTGATGAGGATAAAAAAATTAGGTAATGAAAGATTGGATATCTGACTGGAGGGATGGAGTATCAAGGAAGTGAATGTATTCAGATATTTGGGAGTGAACTTGTCAGCAGATGGGTCTATGAAAGACATGGACAAATCAGAAATAATGAGGGGAAACGAGTGGTACATTGAGGCATCCTGAGACAAAGAACGTTATCCATGGAAACAGAGGGGAATGTATGAGAGTATAGTTATACCAACACTTATATGGGTGTGAAGCATGGGTGGTAAATGTTGCAGCAAGAATGCCGCAGGGAGTGGAGATATAACGTTTAATTGCAATTTGCGGTGTGAATAATGCAGATAATCTGTAGTTTGGAAATTAGAAGTGGGGTTACTAAAAATATCATCCAGAGGACTGAGGAGGAGTTGTGATTTGGAAATTTAGAGGGATTGGAATGAAATAAATGACTTGGAGAGCATATAAATCTGTAGTGGAAGGAAGGTAGGGTAGGGGTCAGCCTAGGAAAGGTTGGAGGGAGAAGGTTTGTGTGAGGGGCTTGGATTTTCAGCACGTGTTTGAGCATGTTAGATAGGAGCAAGCGAGAGGAATAGTTTTTACGACTTTACATGCTGTTGGAGTGTGGGCAAAGTAACATTCATGAAGGGACTCAAGGAAACTAGCAGATCAGACTTCAAGTCCTGGATATGGGAAGTACAGTGCCTGCATTCTGAAGGAGGGGCATTAATGTTGCAGTTTTTTAACTGTAGTGTAGGTGTGCCTCTGGCAAGATGAAGAAAGTCATCTTTCTCAGAAAAACTACCGATGTGTTAATAAAAAAATTAGTTTATCTTAAATTTATGTGCTCTGTCACTATTAAAAACTATATTAGTCAGACTTTAGTTGTGTAAGTGGGATGTGTAATGTTGCTTCCTGTATTAGAGGTAAGGGGTTGCAACTTGGATAGAGACTAAGAGGGGTAGGGAGGGGGTAGTCTGGAGGATGTGCACTTATGACACACTGAATGACAGACTAGTAATGTTCATCTTCAGGTGTGACATGTAAATGATCCCAGTGGGACCAAAACATCCCAAGTTTCTCTCTCCTATGTGCGACTTATCAATGTATTGTTCCACTCACGCTATTATCCTTACCACTCTTAATGCTTCCTGCCTTGGTGGTGGTAGATGGCTGTGATAAATACAAACCCACCTCAAAAATCTTGAGCTCAACATCCTTTATGTGTTTCATTAGGGTAGAGCTCTCCATCTTCAGGCTCTCCAGCTTACTCTTCAGGCCGATCTTTGTTTCTTGGGTCTTTTTCAGCTGAGGCTTCATCTCCATTATTTGTTCCAGTTCCTAAAAAAAAAATTTTGCACTGACCAAGTAACTTTTAATATGCATTTGATATCTAAAATATTAGTTTACTCTTTTATTATATCCATTATGTTAAGTAAAAAAAATTATCCATTATCTTAAAGAAAAAATTACCATAGCATGAGTAGTAGAGAAGAAAGAATTGACTGAATGAAAAGCCAGAGAGAAAGGAAATGAGAAAAGAGAAACAGATGGGAGAAAGAGCAAAGAAAGGAGAAAGAGATGGGGATACCTAACCTTATAGTACACAGGTAAGAGGAGGGGATACCTAGCTACATTACACATAGGTGATAATATGCTTGTGAACAAGTGGTTGCACGCCCGAGTGTGCCCCACACCCACACATGCCCGAGTTAACAACAGTTATTAATGTCAGTACTAACTTGCTCTTCGCAGATCTGATTTTCAGCACTAGCCAGTTTCAGACGATGAAGTTTCTCTTTAGCTTTCTGGATTTTGGTCAACATCTCCAGGTGTCCAACCTCCTTATTTTCAATCTAAAAACAATTTATTGTAATACAATTATTAATAAACCTTTAATGAACAAAATAATTTCCAACAGAAATTAGCCTAAAATTTTCCTTAAAAGGATTATGTCAGTGAACTGAAGACAAATTATTGAAATATTGAGTACAAACACACAAATATTAAACCAAATTGGGCTAAATCTCCACTCTCTGGAGAGACATAGAATGAGGGGACATGATATTGAAGTGTATAATTGGATGACGGGCATAAACAAAGGAGATATTAATGAAGTACTGAGGGTGTCGAACCAGGTAAGAACCAGTAACAATGGATTTAAGTTGGATAAATTTAGATTTAGAAAGGACACAGGTAAGTACTGGTTTTCTAACAGTTGTGGATACGTGGAACAATTTTCTCAGTAGGGTGATCAAGGCTAGGACTTCGGGCAGCTTTAACCCCTTGACTGTCGCAACCCCAAATCCTGAGGTGTCTCCTGGTGTCGCAAAATTTCCAAGAAAAAAAAAATTTTCTTGTAAAATCATAGAGAATCTTTTCCCGATTGTAATGACACCAAAAGAATGAAATTTGATGGAAAACTGATGGAATTACGCTCTTGCCAAGTTAACGACCTCGGCGATATTTACAAATCAGCGATTTAACCTACTTTGAGCCCTATTTTTGGCTAATTCCATTGTTCCAGTCGACCTAACTTATAGCTATTTCTTTAGAACTCCATTTTTTCTATCGATTGAGTACAAGAAACTGCCCATTTACCGATTTCAACTACCTAATAACATGGTCAGAAATTTGCAATTTGGCCTATTTCATGCAAATTAAAAAAATATGCCAATTTCAAAATAGGGTCCAGAATGAACAATGCAGACACTCCTGGCTCTAAAGTACATTGTTCATCAGTCACATCTCCAGGCCCCTCTGATATTACTCTTGCTTTCTATTTTGAATTTTTATTCAAACAAAAAAATAGAAGATTTACTGTTATGCAGACTACTACAATATTGTAATAATTGTATAAATAATGTCAACCCATTCATGATTGCATATTAGAATGGCTACTTGGACATTTATTGGAAAATGATGTCATTTGTTTACTTTTGAACATCGGCAAAAATCAAATAGTTCCCCTACTTTGAGCTCCATTTCAAGGTTCTTTTCTTAGTAAAACCAATAAAAATCACCTCTATTTCTATAATATGCTTTCCATTCTATCAAATGAGACCAAGAGAACGAGAATACATCCATAAATACTATACGAAAATAGACCACAAAGTCGGCATTTTAATTAAAAAAATGGAGCTTTTTTTTCTCATTATGTACTGCGTGCTGCAGGATTTTTTTTATATGGTGCACACTGACCACACAGACCCATTCTCTCACATGTGGGCCTACCAGCTTTCTCCTGCTTGATTTGAAGCAGCTAGAATTTTTTTTTTTTTTTTATTATCACACTGGCCGATTCCCACCAAGGCAGGGTGGCCCGAAAAAGAAAAACTTTCACCATCATTCACTCCATCACTGTCTTGCCAGAAGGGTGCTTTACACTACAGTTTTTAAACTGCAACATTAACACCCCTCCTTCAGAGTGCAGGCACTGTACTTCCCATCTCCAGGACTCAAGTCCGGCCTGCCGGTTTCCCTGAATCCCTTCATAAATGTTACTTTGCTCACACTCCAACAGCACGTCAAGTATTAAAAACCATTTGTCTCCATTCACTCCTATCAAACACGCTCATGCATGCCTCCTGGAAGTCCAAGCCCCTCGCACACAAAACCTCCTTTACCCCCTCCCTCCAACCTTTCCTAGGCCGACCCCGCCTTCCTTCCACTACAGACTGATACACTCTTGAAGTCATTCTGTTTCGCTCCATTCTCTCTACATGTCCGAACCACCTCAACAACCCTTCCTCAGCCCTCTGGACAACAGTTTTGGTAATCCCGCAACTCCTCCTAACTTCCAAACTACGAATTCTCTGCATTATATTCACACCACACATTGCCCTCAGACATGACATCTCCACTGCCTCCAGCCTTCTCCTCGCTGCAACGTTCATCACCCACGCTTCACACCCATATAAGAGCGTTGGTAAAACTATACTCTCATACATTCCCCTCTTTGCCTCCAAGGACAAAGTTCTTTGTCTCCACAGACTCCTAAGTGCACCACTCACTCTTTTTCCCTCATCAATTATATGATTCACCTCATCTTTCATAGACCCATCGCTGACACGTCCACTCCCAAATATCTGAATACGTTCACCTCCTCCATACTCTCTCCTCCAATCTGATATTCAATCTTTCATCACCTAATCTTTTTGTTATCCTCATAACCTTACTCTTTCCTGTATTCACCTTTAATTTTCTTCTTTTGCACACCCTACCAAATTCATCCACCAATCTCTGCAACTTCTCTTCAGAATCTCCCAAGAGCACAGTGTCATCAGCAAAGAGCAGCTGTGACAACTCCCACTTTGTGTGTGATTCTTTATCTTTTAACTCCACGCCTCTTGCCAAGACCCTCGCATTTACTTCTCTTACAACCCCATCTATAAATATATTAAACAACCACGGTGACATCACACATCCTTGTCTAAGGCCTACTTTTACTGGGAAAAAAATTTCCCTCTTTCCTACATACTCTAACTTGAGCCTCACTATCCTCGTAAAAACTCTTCATGCTTTCAGTAACCTACCTCCTACACCATACACTTGCAACATCTGCACATTGCCCCCCTATCCACCCTGTCATAGCGCCTTTTCCAAATCCATAAATGCCACAAAGACCTCTTTAGCCTTATCTAAATACTGTTCACTTATATGTTTCACTGTAAACACCTGGTCCACACACCCCCTTACCTTTCCTAAAGCCTCCTTGTTCATCTGCTATCCTATTCTCCGTCTTACTCTTAATTCTTTCAATTATAACTCTACCATACACTTTACCAGGTACACTCAACAGACTTATCCCCCTATAATTTTTGCACTCTCTTTTATCCCCTTTGCCTTTATACAAAGGAACTATGCATGCTCTCTGCCAATCCCTAGGTACCTTACCCTCTTCCATACATTTATTAAATAATTGCACCAACCACTCCAAAACTATATCCCCACCTGCTTTTAAACATTTCTATCTTTATCCCATCAATCCCGGCTGCCTTACCCCCTTTCATTTTACCTACTGCCTCACGAACTTCCCCACACTCACAACTGGCTCTTCCTCACTCCTACAAGATGTTATTCCTCCTTGCCCTATACACGAAATCACAGCTTCCCTATCTTCATCAACATTTAACAATTCCTCAAAATATTTCCCTCCATCTTCCCAATACCCCTAAAATCTCCATTTAATAACTCTCCTTTCCCATTTTTAACTGACAAATCCCATTTGTTCTCTAGGCTTTCTTAACTTGTTAATCTCACTCCAAAAATTTTTCTTATTTTCAACAAAATTTGTTTATAAACATCTCACCCACTCTCTCATTTGCTCTCTTTTTACATTGCTTCACCACTCTCTTAACCTTTCTCTTTTTCTCCATATACTCTTCCCTCCTTGCATCACTTCTACTTTGTAAAAAAATTCTCATATGCTAACTTTTTCTCCCTTACTACTCTCTTTACATCATCATTCACCCAATCGCTCCTCTTCCCCCCTGCACCCACTTTCCTGTAACCACAACTTCTGTGAACACTCTAACACTACTTTTTTAATCCTCCCCCCATACCTCTTCCCCCCATTGCCTATGCTTCTTTGCCCATCATCCCCCATAGTGTTTATATTACCCAAACTGCCCCCTCTTTTGTTTAAAACCTTCACCTCTCTTTCCTGATCTTTATTCTCCTTGTATCCCATTACCTTTTACTCTCAGTGTGCCAACAGAAGTGATTGATTATCTGTGGCCCCCTCTATAAACAGTACATCCTGAATTTATCAGCATCTTTTATCTCCAAACTAACCCAACAAACACGTCTTTCCCGCCCTACTCATTTTTGTAACTTATTTACCCTTTTTTCTTAAAATAGTTTTACCTAAAAATAAACCCTTTTATAAAAAGTTAAATTTTAAAGGGCTCCCATTATCATTTACACCGGGCCCCCCCAAATTCCCTACCACACCCTCCTAAAAGTTTCTCCTATTTTAGCATTCAGGTCCCCTACCACAATTACTTCTCACTTGTTCAAAGGCTCCTATACTTTTCCCCTTAACACTCCCAAAATCTCTCTTTCCCTGCTTCCTCTCTTCTCCCGGGGCAACAGCTTATTATGACCCACTTCTCGATCCAACCTTTACTTTAAACCACTAATTCTTGAATTTAACATTATATTCCTTTTTCCTTCCATAAAAGATATTTAACATTACTTACCCCTCCTTTGCTCTAACTTCTAGATACTCCAGATTTAATCCCATTTATTTCCCCCCACTGAAACTCTCCTACCCCCTTCAGCTTTGTTTCGCTTAGAGCCAGGACATCCAACTTCTTTTCATTCATAACATCAGCAATCATCTGTTTCTTGTCATCCGCACTACATCCACGCACATTTAAGCAACCCAGTTTTATAAAGTTTTTCTTCTTCTCTTTTTTAGTAAATGTATACAGGAGAAGGGGTTACTAGCCCATTGCTCCCGGCATTTTAGTCGCCTCATACGACACGCATGGCTTACGGAGGAAAGATTCTTTTCCACTTCCCCATGGACAATAGAAGAAATAAAAAAGGACAAGAGCTATTTAGAAAAAGGAGAAAAACCTAGATGTATGTATATATATATATGCATGTGCGTGTCTGTGAAGTGTGACCAAAGTGTAAGTATGAGTAGCAAGATATCCCTGTTATCTAGCGTGTTTATGAGACAGAAAAAGAAACCAGCAATCCTACCATCATGCAAAACAATTACAGGTTTTTGTTTCACAGTCATCTGGCAGGACGGTAGTACTTCCCTGGGTGGTTGCTGTCTACCAGCTTTCTCCTGCTTGATTTGAAGCAGCTAGAATTTATGAGTATATATACATGTACGTCA